TCCTCTCTTCCACAATCGCCAATTTATCTCGACAATTTCCAGAACAAAATTAATTCCTTTCTCTCTTTCGGGACTTGGGAAGAAAGAAAACAGATAGAGGGAGAGAAAGGAAGAGAGAGAGAAAAAAAAAACAGAAATAGACAAAAAAAAGTGGTGGAAAATTTTAGTGTTTCCAAAAATTTGGGAAAAAAGGGAAAGAGGGGGGGAAAAAAGAGACAGGGGGGGGGGTGTCCAGCTCCTCCACCTGGGTCAGTCTCCCTTAAGGTCACCAGCCCTCCATGACCCTCTCACGCCCGGGGGGGGGATGGGGAGGGGGGGAGAGGGGGCAGGCGTTAATGCACGCGCTCTGTCTTCCTCCTCGCGGCGGCACGTGGCGCCTCGACCATTATTATTTTCACCTTTTTCCTCTTCCTTCTTTTCCCCTCCTTATCAATTCTTCCTTCGTCTGTCGGTATTTTTTTTCTCCTTTTCTTATATATTTTTCTGGTCGTGTCACTAAACTCTTCCTTTCTTTTTTTTCAACTCTAAGACTTTAACGTAAACGTCTCAAGTCTCTGCTGAAGAGGTTAAGGAAAAATCTGCGCTGTGTTGCAAAAAGGGGAAGAAGAGAAATGAATTACCACATAAAATGAATAAATAAAACACCATATTTACCGAAAAAAATATAGGCACTGAGTATGGAATTCCGTACCCACACCCCCCTCCCCCACTACCCACCCCTTCCCCATTCTCCCCCTCCACACCCAATCCCTACCCCCTCCCCACCCATCTCTCCCCCCTCCCACTCCATTCCCTCCCCTTCACCCCCCTCCCCCACCCCCCTTAAACCCGTTTTCGAACAAGACAGAAAATGGGCTTGGCTTTTCCCGCCCGCCCTTCCGCCGCGTCCTGGAAATTTCCATTTTACTAAGAGAGGGGGGCAGGGAGGGAGAGAGGGGGGAGGGAGAGAGAGGGGAGGGAGGGAGAGGGAGAGAGAGAGAGAGAGAGAGAGGGGGGGAAGGGGAGGGAGGGAGAGGGAGAGAGAGAGGGGGGGGGGAGGGAGAGGGAAAGGGGGAGAGAGGCGGGGGGGGGATGAGGGAGAGGAGAGGATGACGAGGCGGATGGAGATGGAGGGCGAGGCGGGAGGGAGGGGAGGGAGAGAGAGAGGAGCTTAGGAGAGAGAGAGGAGGCGGAGGGAGGAAGGAGAGAGGAGAGAAGCGATGAGGAAGTGGGAGGGTGGAGGGAGAGAGAGAGAGAGGGAAGAGAGAGAGAGAGGAGGGGGAGGAGAAGAGAGAGGAGAGGAGAGATGAGAGAGAGAGAGGAGAGAGAGAGAGAGAGGAGAGAGAGGAGAGGAGAGAGAGAGGAGGGAGAAGGAGGAGAGAGAGAGAAGGAGAGGGAAAGAGAGGAGAGAGAAGAAAGAGAGGCGCGAGAGAGAGAGGAGGGGGAGAGATAGAGAGGTAGAGAGGACCGAGACCGAGATGAGCGCGAGAGAGAGAGAGAGATGAGAGAGGAGAGCGAGAGAAGAGAGGAGAGAGACAGAGGGAGAGAGAGAGAGAGTGAGAGAGAGATGAGAGAGAGAGAGAGAGAGAGAGAGAGAGAGAGAGAGAGAGAGAGAGAGAGAGAGAAGAAGGGATGGAAGAGAAAAGAGGATATTTTGCTCTCGACGCACCATTAAGAGACAGAATAACAGAATTATTCAAGGCACTTAAAAGAACCTTGCAACCGATTTTTTTTTTCAATCTTTTAAACACAAAAACCTCCTTTTTTATCTCGAATAAAGTCACCAACAACACAATACGTGACTTAAAAAAAAAAACATGTTTTTAAATGAAATATAATCCTCTTTTTTACTTTATTTTTTATATAAATAAGGAAACAAAAGCTCCCGTACTTAAAAAAAAAAGAAAAAAAGAAAAAAAAAACATTAATGACGGATACTAACAATACACATTCTTAACCTAACTTCAGCCCCTCCCCCCCCTCCCCCACCTTCACCTCGCTATGACTTACCTCAGCCCCCCCTCCCCCCCACCGCCTTATCTCCCCCTCTCAGCGCTCGTTTCATCTTCGGTTACCCAAATGTCATTACTACCTTTCCACACACAAATACCTTAATAAGTAAATAATAAAGAAAAATTAACTAAACGCCCCCCCCCCCACCTCTACCCTCCCCCCGTCTACCTCTCCCCCTCCTCCCCCTGATTTTTAACTCCCCTGCCTCCACCTCCTCTTCCCCTCCTCTCGTCTCCTTCCCTTCATTCATCTTTCCTATTCCCCCTTCTCCTCCCTCCCCTATTTCACCCTTTTCTCCTCCCTCTCGTCCCCCCAACTCTCGACTGTATCCTCCCCACTACCCCCTCCCCTCCCCCACGCCCACTCTCCCCTCCCCTCCTCCCCCCATGCTCACTTCCCCCTCCCCTCCCCCACTTCCATTTCCCAGCTCCCTCCTCCTCCCCTCCCCTCCGCCCACTTCCCCAGCCTCCCCCCTCCCCCCTCAGAAAACAGGAGCTAACACGGGCAGCGAAAGTTTAAGCCAAGGTCAAGGAAACGAACGCAGCCAGCTAGAGCAATATGACGGAAAAGAGGTTGCCAGTTATGCGTACCAGGTTATTTTCGCATTAAAAGAGAGAAAAAAAAGAGAAATTCCCCAAACACATAAAGAGGCTTGAGGTCTTTAATAACATGAATATTTGGTAATGAAAAGAAATGGCTGAAAGTTTTGAAAATCCACATTTTTTTCCCTTCATAGAACAAGCGCCGCAGAAATATGTACTAACCGGCACCTCAACCGGATTAGATTTTCCCCTTTTTTATTTTATTTTGTCAATTACGTTTCGTTTCCTATTTTGCATTTTTGCTCTCATTGCATCACTCAATTTCAGTCCAAAGAATGATGATCAGCGGTAAAATAAATCAATGAATCGCATTTTTCACGAAAATGAACAATTGAAAGTGAAAAAAAAGTGTGAAACCCACGTTAAATTTTGACGACTTTTAATTAAGAAGTAAACAATTAACTTTTCTTTTGCAACTTGTTAACTCATTCTGCAACACTGGACCCCGAGTGGTTGGCATTTTCTTTACACTTTGCTAATATTTGCCATAATCCGAATGCTCATTTTCAACTTCAGGTACAGAACGAGGGGGGGGGTGGAGATAGGGAGGGAGTGAAAAGGAATGGAGGGAAATAAGGAAGGAGGAAGGGAAGGAGGGAAGGAGAAAGGAAGGGAAGAAGGGAGAAAGGGATACAGAAAGAGAAATGGAAAGGAAAGGGAGAGAGAAAGAAAGAAAGAACTACAAAAACAAAAAAAACTACAGAGGGTGCGGGGGAATGCAGTCCCACTTCCCTCTTGACAAGTCCCCCCCCCTCCCTCCATCTTTTCCTCCTTCCCTTTTGTAGATATTTACTCTTTGTTTTCCCTCTTTCTCCTTCTTCCCATAATACATCCCCTCCTGCGAATACAATGGCCGCGCGGCAGCTGTATTGAGGGGCCTTCCCTCCGTTTCTTTCGCGATTATTCGCCTTTGTTCTCAAACTCGGAGATTTATATCGTATGTAGTGTAAATTTATATCGATATGCATTTGTAAAACTCATAAATAAATAAATATATATATATATATATATATATATATATATATATATATATATATATATATATATACATACATAGATACACACACATACATACTCACACACACGCACACACACGTATTATCATATATATATATACCGAATATTTATCTACTTATCTATAGATCTATCTACGTCATAAACAAAGAAATCTCCTGCCCACACCGCGTTATGTTAAACCAACCTCCCCACAGAACCTTCGTGGTTTCCTCGTGATCTCACCGTGATATTGTTTCCTTCTTTCTGGCTACTACTCCACACCCCCACCACTCCCTCGCCCCCCCCTCCCCCCTTTCACTTTTACTCCCCTGTTTCCCCCTCCCCTTCCATCATTACCGTTTACCGTTTTCCTCGACCTTATTACCGCGCACGTGCCATAACGGGATGTTGCAATGAATCACAATAATTACACAGGTATTGCCGAGGAACACTCCTGCCTTGTGGTACTGTGTGAGTGTACGTGGCTGCCATACGAAGGGTACAGGATACGAAAGTACATTTTTAGTACATTCCCCCCCACAACCCAGGTATGAGAGGCAGGGGGTGAGTACATCGGAAGTACATCTTGACCAGTAGTCTAGATGTATAGAATGTACAGTCGAGACGCTCGTTTAATGGTCTGGTTTACATACTTTCGTCCTCGTGTACAAAAGAGCACATCTTATTTGTTTAAAAGGGGAAGAGGGAAGTTGAAACTGGTTATGTGAGATATGAATGAGAAGCGAGTCAAAAAGAATGAATTTATGAATAAAATACGCATAAACTTTTGGAGTTCTCTCCCTCTCTCTCCCCCTCCCATTCCTCTCTCCCCCTCCCCCCTCTCTGTCTCTCATCCACACACGCACGTGAGCGTGTATATAAGCGACGATCGTCAATGAAAGAACGTGTCAACAAATCTAAACGAATCCGTGCAACGTCTTCAACAAGGAATGAATATAAAAGGAAAGGGAAAAACTAAGAATACGAAATACCAAGAATCCGCGACTGTTACCAAGACCGGCGGAGACAAAAACTGATCGTCTGCGAGGCATGTGGCAACGACGCCCGCCTGGAACCTCGCTCCGCCCGACTCCCTCGCGGCCTCCTCGGGCGGACGCGGCTGGGGGGGGGGGGGGGGGGTGCACGCGCACACACGCAGAAGCAGGCATAGACACAGGCAGACAGATGCACGGGCTCTATCTCTCCCTCTATCTATCTACAAAAAGGGCGGTTGGCGCCCCGACAGAACCGCAGGATGCCCTGAACATCCTTTTCTCGTTTTCTTTATCAAACGCAAGAAAACGAGACCTCCAAATCGCTCTTCATAGGATTATATGGTCGTCATCAACACTATCCTCGTAAATATAATCACCATCACCACCATTATCACCATCATTACATCCCCTTCACAACCACACTGACCTTAATAAGACCCGTAAAAGATAATCATACGAACAAGGACCTTAATATCACATCCCGATATCGTCCAGCTCCCGGCCTTGATAAGGATTGATAGACGCGTCTTATCAACCGATTTCGCTGCGGGCGTGGGAGGGAGGGCGGCCTGGGTCGCCCATGGCATCCGCGCAATCCCCTCCCCCCCCGCCGATTTTCATGTTTTTTTTTCTATGGGGGGAGGGGGCTATTTCGATGTGTATGCAAGTGTGTGTGTGTGTGTGTGTGTGTGTGTGTGTGTGTGTGTGTGTGTGTGTGTGTGTGTGTGTGTGTGTGTGTGTGTGTGTGTGTGCGCGCGCGTGCGCGTGCGTGTGCGTGTGCGTGTGCGTGTGCGTGTGTGTGTGCGTGTGCGTTGCGTGTCTGTCTCTGTGTCTGTCTGTTTCCAATTGCTTGCATTTATATATCATTTGTTGGGTGAGTGAGTGAGTGAGCCAGCGAGCGAGTACGTGCGTGTGTGCGCGTGCACACCACCTCGCATCTCCAGTCCCTTACGATAACCACTTTACCACTCCCTCTTATCACCCCCCCTCCCCCCCTC